CCATTTGTCTCACCATCTATTGTGTTGATAGCTCTCACATCCCTCCACCATGTTGATCCTACACCACTATTTTCATCAATCCAATCTTGCCAATGTCCCCCTCCATTGCCATACTTTTCTACTATTATTCTCTTCCACAAACCCTCCCCATTTTCAGCAAGTCTTCCCCACCATTTTCCCATCAATGCTAAGTTGAATTTCCGTAAATCCCTCACGCCTAAACCCCCTTCCTCTTTCTTTTTGCATACTCTTTCCCAACTCACCCAATTTATTTTCCTATCCTCTCCCTTTCCTCCCCATAAGAAACTTTTACGAATTTTATCAATTGCATAAATTATACCTTTTGGAATTACAAAGACTGACATCAAGAACACGGGCAAACTTGACAGCACTGAATTGATGAGCGTAATGCGACCTCCCATTGATAGTTGCCTCCCCTTCCAAGTAGCTAATTTCCTTTTAACCGACTCCACCAATGGTTGCCACATAGCTACTCTCCTTTGGCTACCACCAATTGGGATTCCCAAATACTTAACTAGCAGCTCCCCTTCTTTGCAATACAGTCTATAAGCCATTTTACCGCTCCAGCTTTTATCTACTCCCACTCCCATCAGTTCACTTTTTCTGAAATTTATCTTTAGCCCTGAAGCCAACTCAAAAGTTCTCATAATGCATTTGATCACCCATATATTGTCTTCCGTAGCCTCCCCGAAAAATAAGGTGTCATCCGCGAATTGAAGATGTGTGACCATAGTGCCTCCGCTGCCAATTGGCACTCCTTTATACCATCCCTTCTCCACTGCTGATGACACTAATCCATTCAACCCCTCCGCGACAATCAAGAATAAAAAGGGAGATAGCGGGTCACCTTGACGGATGCCTTTGTAAACCGGGAATTGTTTCGTCGGGCTGCCATTAATGAGAATGGATATCGAACTCGATTTTAGACACTCCTGTATCCATTTCCTCCAAGTTGCGTTGAATCCCATCCTCAACATCATGTACTCAATGAACTCCCAACATACCTTATCATAAGCTTTCTCAAAATCGGCTTTAAATAGAAAGCTCTTCATCTTCTTCCTTTTGACCTCATCGATAACCTCATTTGCAATCACTACTCCTTCCGCTAGTTGTCTTTCCTCAAGGAAAGCCATCTGCTGCTCACCGATCACCATGGGTAACACCTTTCGCAGCCGATTTGCTAGTAATTTTGCAATGATTTTGTACATAACTCCGATGAGCGATATGGGTCTGTATTCCTCAATTCCTTGGGGGTTTTCTGTCTTCGGAATTAGCACAATGAAAGACGCATTTGACCCTCTGACCAACCTGCCATGTTCTTGAAATTCCTGTACAAAATTGATCACATCAAATTTTATGACTTCCCACATCGTCTTAACAAATCTGAAGTTGAATCCATCCGGCCCTGGAGATTTGGATGAATCACAGTCCCATATTGCTTCTTTGATTTCCTGTTCCGAGAAGGCCGCTATGAGGGTCTCATTATCAGTCCGTGATATTTGCTTAAAACTGATCCCATCTAGCTTTGGTCTGCTCCACTGTTCTTCTGCAAACAGATCTTGGAAGTACTTAGCAGTCTCTTGCTTTATTGTCTCCACTTCTATAAGTTGCACCCCATTGATCCGGATGCTATTAACTTCATTTCTTCTCCATCTTCCTTTCACACTCCTATGGAAAAATTTTGTGTTGGCGTCACCTTCTTTTAGCCATAGCATCCTTGATTTTTGTTGCCACATCCTCTCCTTGATTCTCAGATTTTTCCACAGGTCAATAAAACACTTTCTCCTCATTTCAATATCATTATCTGACAGTTGGTTCTGCTCACCTTTCTCGTCAATTCTAGCAATTGTAACTTCTGCATCCTTTAGTTGTCTATCCACCTCCATATTCATATTATTGCTCCACTCCTTTAGAGCAAGCTTTGTATGTTTCAACTTCTCCTTGAGTATAAAACCACTCCAACCTTTCACTTCACAGCTTTTCCACACCTTTGTAATCACCTCCTTGCATCCTGGATTTTCCAGCCATGCATCATACAATTTGAATGGTTTTGGCCCCCAGTCAACTTGCTCATTTTTCAACAAAATTGGGCAGTGGTCCGAAATAGACCTCTTCATTCCCCATTGTTTCACATTGCTCCATTTTGCCATCCATTCCTCTGATAATAAAAATCTATCCAGTCTACTCATGGATTGACCATTTGAGCTATACCAAGTGTATTTTCTCCCCACTAGAGGCAAGTCAATCAATTCGGAGCTATGAACAAAATCATCAAATTCCCTCAT